AAGTTATAAATGAAATAAGATTTAAATGAAACTTTTTAACCTCTGTTTAGAAAAGAATTTTATATTTCTATCATATAATTTTAATAATTCTTGTAAAGATTTGACCCTTTTTTTCCCCGTTGAAATATTGTTTGAATTAGGAAACATTGGTCTATTCTTCGTCCACACGGTTGTGCTGGGCTTTGGGGACTCCCTGCCACCCCCTCCCCCCCACCTTTCACCATCTGCTCACTCTCCCTGGGGACAGAGGGGCCCAGGGGACTGGAATGTGAACCCAACACATCCTATAGAGAAGCCACACTTTATTTCCAGCCTGGGGCAGAGAAACACTCTTAAGTATGATTTCTGTATCTTCCTTAAAATTAATTGCCTGCAATCTCCCGTCTAGCGCTGTGATCTATGAGCTCCCATGACCCAGGCACTCCATTTGTTTTCTTTGCTAGGAATTTTCAGAGCCACGGCTGGGTCACCCTCTGCCTTTCCCTGCAGCTGGTTTCGCTCTGCATTTAATGAGTGGAGTGGCCCGGGAAGGGTTTCCCCGTCTGGCACCCCTTTGGAAGGACTCAGCTGCTTGTCCGCGTTCCGTGTTCAATGAGTAAATGCCGGCTGACTCCAAGAAAGGGCCTTCCCAGCTAGTTCTCATCTGGTCTGCGTCTAGGGCACATTCCTGAGCTCGCCTGCCCCTCCCTCCTTTCTCTTTGGACTTTGGTGTAACCAGCAGTGAAGCGGGGACGTATTTTAAATCACACATATGTGTAATTTAGAATCACTGGGATTTTCTGTCCCTGTTCACTGGTTAGACTTGACAATGTAGCAAAGCCTGCTGACAAACTTTGCATAGTCATCCCAGATTTCATGCTGCACCTGATTCTCTACATTTAAATTTGGCGGTTGGTTTTTAGAGCTGTGATGTTAGCAGATGGGAATTTGAAATGTTTTGTTACCTTGCTGAGATACAAGTATTTTTCATTTCTGTTTTTAGAGTGTTAAGCACATATTATAGTTTTTTTCCTTATAATCTAGTGTATTTACTTAGACTTTACATTTTTTACAGAAGAAAAACTTATTTGTTTTTGCACCTTTATTGCTAAACTGATAGGAAGAAAGTCTATAATTATGCTTCTTAAACTGGATGTCCTCCAGAAATGTAATATATTCACCAAACTCCACAAACACCAAAGCTTCCTCTAAGAAGATTGGGAACCCACCCAAGAGTTCTACAGTTACATTTTTATGAAGTATTTTTGCAGCATACTTAAAGGACTGGGGAGATTGTTGTATGGGACTTTTATTCTTTCCCCCACCCCTGCAGTATTATGCCCTGTTAGAATTTTTGATGACTTCATGTCCAGATACATAAGAGGTAACCATAAATTTAAACGGTAAGCAGACCCACTATTCAGTGCTTCACATTTAGTGAACTTTTATTCAGTGAATTAATGAGTTCAGAAGCACCAAAGGGCATTGACGGTAGACTTGACCTCATTAATGATTTATTTTTTTTTAAAGGAGAAAGCCATTTATTCCTCAACTTTGTACTTGTATATAAGATTTTAGACATTAGTTTTAGAGATACTTCAAGTTACTACAAATGTTATGAGACCTCAGATTTTAATTGTCTACTGCTTTTTTTAATAGAAAGAAGAGAATGTCACAACAAAAAATTTAAAAGCAATTTAGAATACTATTCTTGCCCTTGTGACTTACAAACTCATACAGTCACAAATGCCTGTCTTTAGGGAGCTTAGCTTCTGGAAAGCACAGCAGGACCCCAGGTGTGGTAGCTGTAATATCCGTTGCTGGCTTGGCTTCCCCACCTTGTATTGTTGGAAGGGCTTGGCAGGGTGAGGGTTCCTGCTGTTTCAGGGAGGACGTACACCTGGATGTTGCATTTTCTCATCTCAATGTCAGGACTTCAAGGCTTGTAACATTTGGAAATTGTGGTCCTTTCCATCCCTGAAATTTTGTGATTCTCTGGGTCCTTTGGTTACAGGAAACCTTCTTAAAGACACGGCATGTTGCATTTCTTTTTCTTTCCTTTCTCTCTGTCTGTCTGTCTCTGTCTTTTTCTCTTTCTCCCTCTGTCTCTTTCTCACTTTCCTTCCAACCTGTTTTGAACACAACCAAGGGCAATGCGGTTCTCTAGCCTGCAAATTTCTGTAGAAATGTGGGTGCTGGGTGGGGTCACCACAAATTTTGTGTTTTTTCTGCCCAAGACCAAAAAAGCCCTTCATCCCTGGCAGTACCCAACCTCCTTCAAGCATAATCCTAGTAAACTTTTGTTATAGTAAAACAGTGACTAATTAGAGCCTCTTATTAGTCAGGATTTCCATCCATCTCCAGCTCTCCTCATTTTTGGAATTAAAACCAGACAAATGGGAAATAAACCAATTATGTCAGTACATGACTGACATAATTGAGTTCTTACTGTGTGCCAAGCGCTGTGCTACCTGGGTAAATGCTCAGCCCCATTATTCCAGATTAGTGCTATTTTAATCTCTGCTTGCACAGGAGGAAACTGAGGTTCGGAGCAGTGGAGTCACTGCCTGAACACCAAGAGCTCTTTGCGGACAGAGTCGGGTGCGAGGGATTTAATGTTCTCTGAATCAGGATATCAGGGTCATTATCGTATCCCCCACCCCCAGCCCTACAATAACTTTAATTGAAATCATAGTTCTTTTCTTGCAATGGCTTATGCTGTATTGATATAAATTGTGGATTGTGAAGACAAGGTCATTTTTGTGTTGAGAACTGTTCTCTTTAACATCAGTTTGAAAATGATCTTAAACCTCCCTGACTCTGCCATCTTTTATTCTGGTTTAGTGGTTGCTATTATAGTGTCTCTAGTTAGTAAGCTTCTTTGAGTTCCAAGGGATTTTTGACACCTTTTCTTTTTCAATAATTTTATGTTGTCAGCTACCAAGGCAATTGGGCAGAAAAAAAAGATTCGCTGTGGGCAAAAGTGGCAGAATGAGATTTCAGCAGTAAGCTCAGAAAATCAAATTCTCTCTGAGCAGCAGTTTTTACTACAAATAAGCAAGACAAGACAAATGTAGAAATTGTCACCTGTGGTTGCTGTAATCGAGGTCTTTGTGGAGCTTTTCACAGACAAATGGGCAAAATAAGTTTGCTGGGAGTTTCTTTCCTGGATAGAGAAGGGTATGCATGGTTGAGGGAAATGTTTTGGCAGGTGGCGAGGGCCAGGGAGGCTCTGATGAAAATCACTGGGCACCGTGCTCTCCCTGCTGGTCTGGCCGCAGCTCACATGCTGTCCCTGCCCCAGTGCCCCCACCTCTGTAGTTCCTCCTGCGTGCCCCAGCCGGATTAATCTAGAATCAGGAAACTTTCAAAGATTTGACTTTGTGTTTTATGGCCTGGCAGAGGCAAACGCACGTGCCTCTTCTCGCACTCAGGGCCATTTTGTGGTCTGTGCTTACTTTACGTTCATATACTCGTACTGTCATATCCTCAACACAAATCCTTTCCACCCGTTGAACTGGTCTTGGGTCTGTTCTTTGCTGTGTATCAAGCACTACCTGTGTGCAAACCACCTTGGACATGTCAAGTGAACAGCTTGTTAATAGCCAAAGTCACAGAAGACAGTAAGTTCTAGATGTAAATCGAGTGACGCCTAGCTAGTAACAACCATGAGAGTTAACTATGGGAAGTTGAGCTACAGAGGGCATTGTGCTGTTGAGGAAAGACAGGCCACATAACTTCAGGAGAGAGAGGAAGTCGGTGTAGTAAGCTCTTGAAAGGCGAGCTGGGGGCTGCTCTTTTAATCAGCTTGAGAAGACCAGCCTCTCTGTAGATGAAAAAGAACATCTGCAGCCACTCAGAAACCAGCTGAGGACAAGATGGCTTTGAGCCTCACCCTCCGATGCTATTGCGGGTGCTGATCATGCTGAAAGCAGCTACAGTGTAGAGAGCACTTTCTAACGCTGTGATGGGCACACTTGACGTGCTTGGCCTGATTAAATGCTCCCCAGAATGCTGAAATTGGTGGCTGTTGTTATCCCCATTTTATAGATGAGGAAACTGAGGCTTGACAAGGTTAACTGACCAACCTCAGATCATGCATCTAGCAGCAACTAAAATCAGTTATATTTATTCTAGAGTTCATCTACACATTTTTTAAAGGTTTTTGTGGGTAAGGGGGTGTTGGTGGGTGTCATTGCTTCCTAAAGGCTGCTGGGAAATGCCGTGTGTGAACATATTCAGTTTAACTCCCCCCCCCCCCCCCCCCACTCATGAACACTCTCCATGCAGAAGTTAATATCATAAGATCTACAGGGATATTTTAAGCATTCAGAAAAGGTGCTTTTGTCAGCATGGCCCCTGGTCTTTTGCAGGTAGGCCTTGAAGCTTGGCATTCCCCCACCTGGCACATCCTTACAGTGGAGGGCAGTCTGTAGCTACTCCGCCGTGCTGCCTGTAGTGATTCGTCAAGGGTTCGAGGCAGCTGGCCTTCTGTCCCCAGCTAGAAGGTGAGGTCTCTGAGGGCAGACAGCATGTCTTATCTTGGCTGTTAAATTGGATTATTTCTTTACCATAGCTGGATAAAAATGCCCCCTAAAGTTACCTGCGTCTCTTTTTTAGGCCTGTGTATTCTCTGAACAGCCTTCACATAAGGACCTCTGGATTCAGGCAGGGGCTGTTTGGTGCCTCTGTGGGTGAGGCCATGTTGTGGGTGAGAAAGAGCACAGGCTTGGAAGCCCACACCAGGGTCTGTAATCCAGCCTTCCTGCCGGCTTCTGGAAGACTCTTCCATGAGTCTTTTATGTGAAATGGCTGGTTCACAGTTAGCATTTAGGAAACGAAGAGATGGTTCATCTGCCTGATCCAAAGCCTGAGCACAGGGCCTTGCACAGAATGCGTGCGCCATAAACAGGTTTCGCTGGGAATGGTTCGCTTCCTTGGCACCTGACCTTAAAGAGATAGCAACTCTAAAGTCTCCCTTTAAAAAAAAAAACCAAAAAAAAATTGTTTTTATTGTGGTAAAACACACATAATGTAAAATTTAACATCTTAACTCCTCTTTAAGTTCAGTGGTGCTGAGTACATACACGTTGTGTGTAACCACCACCACCACCATACATCCCAAACCCTTCTTAGCTTGTAAAACAGAAAGTCTATATCCATTAAACAATGCCCCGTTCTCCCTGATGCCCCAGCTCCTGGCAGCCATTCTACTTTCTGTCTCTGTGTTTGACTACTCTAGCAACCTCATATAAGTGGAATCATCTACTCTTTAGCTTATTCCCTGAACATAATGTTCTCAAGGTTCATACCTGATGCCTTTATCGAGAGTGCCCTTCATTGCCCGACTTTGCACAGGAAGGCAGAGCCAGAGACGGGTGTCTTGGCTCTTAGAAGCTACTTCAGTTAGTAAAGCCTGACGTTTTGTACAGTAAGTGTTGGTAATATCAACCTCACAATAAGATACAGAGTGATTATATTAATCAGTATATTAAAGCAATAAACAAAGGGTAATAGGATTAAACCAGGACCTTCTTGGCTAGAATACTTTCCTTTTATCATACAACAATTTAGAATGTTTCATACATATGTATCTTTAAATAGGATGAAGCCTATTTTTTTAATCTTTACACGAGGATATGTTTATTGATTTTAGAGAGAGAAGAAGGAGAGAGAGGGAGAGAAATATTGATGGGAGAGAGAAACATCAATCTGATGTCTCCTGTACGTGGCCCATCCGGGGATCGAACCCACAACCTAGGTATGTGCTCTGATCGAACCCGCAATCTTTTGGTATATGGGACAATGCTCTAACCAACTGAGCCACATGGCCAGAGTTCATATATATTTTTAAATTTAATATTAGAAACACCTTATTAATTTAGGTATTCTGTTTTATAGATGAGTAAACTCTAAAGCTGAGAAATTAAGGATTTTCTCAATTTGAACAGCCCTGACAAAAATGAAACTTTGTGTGCCCAGAGTCATACATATAAAGAGTTTAAGAAGGAGTTCTGGGCTCTGGTAGAGCTTGGATTCAAGCCCAGTTCTTCTGACCCTTGTTTTGTTTTGTTTGTTTATTTGTTTTTTCAAAGCCACTGAACACGTATACCAACTATTAGCATGATATATTTTTCTCTATCCATTTATTTTTCATCTATATTTGACTTCATAAAGTGGTTTCTTATAGATAGCATACAGTTTGGCCTTGTTTTTTGATCCTCTGACAATGTCTTTTAAGTGGTACATTTAGACCATTGATGTTCAAAGTGGTCATTGAGATAGTTGGATGCACATAGAGCAACGGAAGTTGGAAGGGTGTGTGTATGCATATATAGGCACATAATTAACATTTTTGTTTATCTGTATATAAATGTACAATAGATGCCAACCTATTTCCAGGTAATCTGGCCTGAGAGACAACATAGATTTTTTTAAAATACATTTTTATTGAATGTTTGCTATGAGTTTGGCGCTATGTTGAATATTTTAGTAGTTTTAGCTTATTTTGAAGAAAACCTATTTCAGAAATTTGCACTGTATTCTCTAATGGTTGAGTGCAACTTTTTTGCCTCATATTTTGGGAAAAAATGCCTAAAATCGGTGCAAGATAAAATTAACAGAACAGAGAAAAGTGGCTAATGTAATATAACTCAACTGTGTGACTCACGGAAGTTGGGGTCTCATGTTCGCTACAGTCAGGGGCTAATGATCTCCACAGGCCTCAGCGCAGGCCTGAGTTCAGGGATTATTGATTCTGGGCCTCTCTGTGTGTGTTCCACCCGTTATTAAATAAATGCCACCAAGAAGAGAGGTTTTCTTAGAAAAGATGGTGTTTTCAGTGTTTCATGTTGGCTTTTTACTAGGTTAGTACACTTTCAGTAAAACTTCAAGACTTCTCAAAGAAAACAAACAATTCCTGAATAAGCCAGTATTATGAATTGAGGTATTTAAGTCCTTTCACTGAATGGAACTTCTGTTCCCTCATTCCTGAGCCTGCTATGGGCCTGCGCTGCAGATGTCTGTATGATATATGGTGTGGTAAATATGTAGCCTGAGGAATTTTGTGGTTTAAAAGAAAAGTTGAACTGTGGATTGTCTGTAAGAGGGGACACCTCTCCTGCCATATCAAACCCACCCTTCTTCCTCGTTCTCAACGTCTAACAGACCCTTTTTCAGATTTTTAAAGATTTTTTTTCAGTCACACACAGTAACATCTCAGTCTCCTTTCCTTATATTGCAGCCTAGAGCCCAATTTTGACTCTCCTGAGAATTCAGAATGCTTTCACTCATGCTTTTTCTACAGGTAGACATGGTGTTGTGGCCACTTCAGAAGAAAGGTGTCGTCTATAGCCAAGGCTTGCCTCATTAGTTTGAGGTTCTGTGTTTACAGTTTAAACAGAGCTCAGATGTTCTGCTTTTATCTAATGAATTTGTGAATCTGCTGTCATTTGAATTATCTAGATTGTCTGAGTGAAGGGTTCTAAATGTGCTGGATGCTGCAATTAGACAGCTTTGTTTTGGCTCTGTAGACACAGCCATATTTGGGAAACACAAATGGGCCAGTTTTTGTGTTTAAGACTCATCTTGGTTAACAGTGCATGTTTCAGAAACTTTGTGTGCCCAGAGTTGTACATATAAAGAGTTTGAGAAGGAGCTCAGGGCCGTGGAATGCCATGAAGTCGGATTAGGAGCCGGGAATTGGCAACCAGGGTCCTAGGGAGCAGTGGGGTGCTGTGTGTGCTGTCACCTGGCAGCCTTTGCTGACTATTTTAAGACAAAACCTTTTAGTGCGATTGCTTCTTTAGGAAATCTGGCTGAACATTCTAGTCATTTTATCCCCACCCCATCCACCCCCGTCCTCATAAGACACTGCATGGGAGTAATTTGGCTTCATTCAACAAAAGCAATCACTGGCGATTCATGTTGAAATTCCACATTTAGGGTATTTGCCATTAGTTCTGTGGAAGATTGCATCATGTGGGGCTGCTATGTTCTAATGGACAAGATTGTTAGTGGCATTTTTTAAAGCTTGCCTCCTAGAATTTTCTCTTGAGAGTTCTGAAGATTAAACAATTGCATATCAAATGCCAGGTATGAGCTAGGAATAAAAAATTACCTTTCATTGAAAAAATATTATAACTGTCTTATAAACAGGTTGGAAAATATGAATGAAGTAATGTTACCTGTAATTCCACATTACCACATTGTTACTAGAATTTGGGCATATTTCCTTTCAAATATATGCTTGTGTTTTGTTTTTTGTGTGATTATAATCCCAAATGTCACACAGACCTATACCTTGCTTTATTCATCTACTCTTATGATAAGTTTTTTCCCATGTTGTGTGGTCCATGGAACCATTTGTTTTCGTGACTATTCTGCAGTCCACACAGAGGTGCGTAGCCATGAAGTTGGTCTGGTCTGCTGTCACCAAATACTGAAGTGTTACTAGTTTTTCACTATTCTTAATAAATCTGTGACAAACATCTCTGTCTGCATTTCTTTATTGTCATTTGGGGCTCTTTCTTCAGGTGAGATTCCCGTAAAGCACCAAGGGCACAAGGTACATAGCTGCTGATACACTGTGCTGAAAACAGTAGGAACAATCTACAGTGTCACTGCCTGTACAGGAAAATGCCAGCATCTTTGCATTTGTCCACATTGAGTATTAATGTTTTTAAATTTGTGGAGTAATTTTAGATGTGGAAAAAATAATTAGTCATTATTTAAATCTTGTTTTAAATTAATCATGTTAAGTGAACATTTTCTCATAGATTTGAATTTTTCTTCTGGGAATTATTTCTTCATGCCTTTTAAATTTTTTTCTTGGCAGTTAGTATGCGTACACTATAAAATAAAGATACTAACCTGCCCTGGCTGGTGTGGCTCAGTTGTCAGGAGTGTCATCCTATAATGAAAAAGTTGCAGGTTCAATTCTCAGTCAGGGCACATACCTAGGTTGTGGGTTCGATCCCCAGACTGGGCATGTGTGGGAGGCAACTGATCAATGTTTTTCTTTAACATCAATGTTCCTCTCTCTCTCTTCCTTTCTCTCTAAAAGCAATAAAAAATGCCCTTAGGTGAAGATTTTAAAAAAAGAAGAATATTAGAATATTAACCCTCTATTACGTTTGCTGCAAAGCATGTATTATATTATATAAATAATATATGGTCACAGGTTATCTCCTAAGTTCTATTGTCTGAAGTTCAAATAACACTGCTTTTATAAGACTTTAAGCTATTTCAGTTGTTGGCAATTTTTTTTTTTTTGGCAGAATCAACTTTGTATATTGATTGCAAAGCTCCATTTAGATATAAAAGGTTAAAAATGCTTTCAGCTTTATTGGTAGTTAATCTCTAGCTCTGGATCTGCCCCTCTGCCCCGCCCACCCGTGTGGTCCTGGCCGGAGTGTGTGATGGTTTTAGTGGGACTTGGGCTTGGGATTTCTTAATCCTGTGATTATAAATAGGCCTTATTAAAATGAGTTTCTTATCATCATGAATTTTAATGGGGATTTAAAAAACAAAACTAATCCAAAATAAAGACCTTTAGTTTTTGTGGGGCAAGTGGATCTGGCTGCTGGGATTGCCTTAAAGTTTGGGGAAGTGAGACAAAGGGTGTTAGTGGTAAGAAACAAGGAGACTGAAGACTCAGAAACGGGAAAACTTGTCCGGGGTCAGTAGGAGTGGCACAGACGGTGCACAGGGAGTTTAGGGCTTATGGAGGATATGGGGGAAATGAGACCGGAAAAGTACTTGGAACCTCATCTTAAGGAATTTGGACTTCATGTTTTAGACTAGTGTTTCCCAAAGTGTGGCATTGGAGGGGGTTTGAGAAGGTATGTCACTGAACGTTTTTAAATTTTAGTGTTTATTTATTCCTTGATTCTCTCTCCCATGCAGAATTCATTCCTTTCCTTTCTGTGCTCCTGCAACACTTAGGTCAGGCTGCTAGCAGAAGGGTTGCCCATCGTATTATGTTTAAAAGGGATATGTCTGTGCCCTATTACTCTGTGATAGCCTCAAAGACAATAGCTGTATCTGATTCATGCTGGTGTCCTCTGGGCCAAGCACTGTCCTGGGTACATAGTCAGTGCTAAAGAAATGCTGTTCGAATGGTATCAATGGATCTGTATTTTAGATACATTATTGTTTCCTAGGAGCTTCACCACCTTTTTTCCTTTTGCCCCATACTGCCCAGCCAACCGCCCCTCCCCTCACCAACCCCCAGCTCAGAGGAGACCTGTAGATTTTTTTCCCCCATTGAATTCTGTCCTGGGAACTCTTTCACTGCTGAAGTCAGAATGTGGCAGTACACGGACTGTAGGGGTGATTCTGAGCCTTATTAGGCTATTGTAATGGTCTGAGAATGAGGTGATGGAATAGAATGGTGAGTGTGCAAGGAAACGCAGAGGTGGCTAGAACATATGAGTCATGCAGATGGAAGAGATGATGAGGCTAGGCAACTTATCAGGTGTCGGCTGGAGGGCGTGGCAAGGAAAAGAGGAGAGAGCAGTGCACTCAGGCATATGCCACGGACAGCTATTCACCCCACCAGTATTAACTGGGAGCTTGCTCTGTGCTGGGTGCCTTATTAGATGTTAGAATAGACGTAAACGGGATGCTGCCCTGCCTGAAGGTGCTTGCTGTCTGGTGGGCTTCGTGTATGAGGCCAGATTGGAGGAGCGGAGACCGGGAGGGAAGGTGGGGGGAGGTGAATAATGGGTTCAGTTGATCCTGGTAGTTCATTATCAGGAC